GTCGCCAGACTTGAGTGCAGTGGCACACTCACGGCCACCCCAGCATCTACTTGCTGGGTTCTGACGATCCTTCTGCCTCAGCCTTCCAAGTATCCAGAACTACAGGTGTGCACTCCCACACCCGGCTAGTTTTTTGATTTTATTCTAAAGACAAGGTCTTGCCAAGTAGCCTGAGTTGGTCTCGAGCCCACAAGCTCAGGCAATCCACTCTCCTCAGCCTCCCAAAGTGCTGGGATTATAGGTTGAGCCACCAAGCCTTTCAATTCATAGTTTAACATAATAATCTGTAGGAAACTTTCAGGTTCCTTGTCAAAGACAGTAGGTCAAAGATCACCTCTTGGCTGGCTGAAGCAACGGGAATGATAATAAGACCACCTTTTGGTCAAGGAGTTTGTGGATTTCAAACGTCTAACAAGTCTCTTGCAGGAAAAAGCCCTCCCCTTGTTTCCCATCTAGCCCACTACTATGGCCGCAATCATGTGACTAACCCACCCATCTACCTAATGTTCATCACTTGACATCAGTACCTGCGCTTACCTGCCGCTTTGTGATGATGTGGAGCATACCACCACCCAGTCACCTTAATGACCTTCCACCATCCAAGGGAAATGGTTAAAAGGACTCAACCACGAGCAGCCATTTGCCATTGCTTTACCAGACTCTGGTGTGGCCTTGTGCTTTCTGAGCTATGGCCGTCGCCATGTTTCTTGGCTTTGGCCTCCTTCCCTACCTTGGAGAGGTGAATCTCCTCTTTTTTCTCTCTCTCTCTCTGATTTACTTTCTAAATAAACTATATTTTCTAATCTAACTTCTGTGTCATTCTTTGCACCTTTTATGTGGCATCGAATCACAACACCCCACACCCCACCATCCCAGCAGGCCTGGTCTAACATCCTGGAAGCCCCACTAGCAGTATGACTTTAACAACCACTGTCCAATTAGAAAATCACCATCTATATATCAGATCAGATCTGCCTCTAAATCTAGAAAGCAAGTGTAAATTTCAGTCTAGATAGTCAAAGAAGTCAGTAATATCAAAGAACTAAAAATGCAGAACATCCCAGTCATTGCAGGTCTCTGAATCCTCAGCAAACCTCTTTGATTTTAGTGATCTTTGATCTTGGTGAAAGACATTCATTTGGTCTTGAAATTCTTAATAATTTTATCTTTAAGCCACGAGGCAGGTACAGTTAGCATAGTTTGGAAGGAGTTAGGCAGGTTTTCTTAGCAGGTTGAAATTAAAAGAGGACATTCAGGAATCTTTCTTATCCATACATGACCTTTACCCAACCGACCAGGCATATGGTTGGAATGTGGAACTACCGGTGTAGTAAATCACAGAAACAATAGAGACTTATCCAAAACACTGACATGATGTTCTATGAAAAGTCCAAATCTAGTTAGTAACTTTTATTATTTAGGAGGTCCTTGTGACCTTAGAAGGTTGAGAAATAGCAATCAAAACTCATGACCAGACACCTGCGGCCCACCCCTCTTAGCTCATAGAAGATAGAAAGATGGTAATCAAAACTTGTACTCAGATACCTGCAGCACACCCTGCTTAGCTCATGGTTTGCCTAATAATCATAAAATTATATAAAACTTCTTGTTAAAGCTAAATACATATCCTTTCTCTTAAGGTACCCATGCCCTTTAGGCATGTCTTTTTCTTTCTAATAAATTCTGTCTTAAACAATACTTGGGACTCACTCTGAAATTCTTTTCTGTGGCTGAGTCAAAGAACCCATGAAGCAATACACCACACCCTACCTGGCATCCGACCAGGTGCAGTGACTCATGCCTGTAACCCCAACATCTGGCAGGCCAAGGCAGGTGGATTGCTTGAGCCCGGGAGTTCAAGATCAGCCTGGGCAACATAGTGAGACCTTGTCTCTACAAAAATAAAAATTTTAAAAAGTAGCCCAACATAGTGATGTACACCTGTAGTCGCAGCTACTCTGGAAGCTGAGGTGGAAGATTTGCCTGAGCTACTCCACTCTGGTCTGAGTGTTAAAGTGAGACCCTGACTCAAGAAAACTAATTATCTTTGAATTTGTATTTTGTATATTAAATCAAATAGAACAACAGAACAAGTGCTAAGGCATTGGCACATGTGGTCCTACCTCCTGGGAGTAGAGTATGCTGTTGTGTCTGCATTTTGGTCCCGTTCAGTGACTGCTCTGGCTCGGGACAGACTGTCAGGCTCACATTGGGTATACTGAGTCCTGGGCAAGCAAGACTGGCCACCTGTGAAGGTCTGCACTCTCCTCACACATACTCCCCTACCTGAAGGGGCCTGTTGGGGCTCAGAAACTGATACCCAAATATAGTGTTTTGACATGCTGAACTGAAGAAGCCTCAAGGTCTCTCTGACCTCCCAACTTCCATTCCTCTCCCAAAAAAGCTGCTTCTCTTTTTCATTGTCTATTGCAGAAAAGAACATCAAATTGTGACCACACCTGAGCAGACTTTTTTACAAGTATAATGACTGTCTCCAAGGAGCACTGAAATTCCCAAAAATAAACTTATTTACAAGTTATTTGTCCTCTGATCCAATCATTCTTCCTAGTGATCATTTGTTACCCCTCAACAGAATTCCTCTTCCTCCCTTCCTATAACCCATTTACCAGAATCCAAGCCTCTGTTCTTTCTGCATCCTGGAGATGGTACTTAATTTTCTGCAACTCATTGGGAAGTCGTGTCTTCATTCTGAAGCCTTTCATGCTCACATGCTAAATAAATGTGTATGCCTTTTCTCATATTAGCCAATCTGGCCTCATGCCAGTGATTTTTTGGTGAACCTTTAGGTGGCCAACACCATGGCCTCCATAAGCCAGACATTAAATTAAAAAATACCATGACAGGTCAAGAAAAATCTTTTTCCTGCTTTTTGAACCAGGGGCCCCACATTTTCATTTCGCACAGGGGGCCCCAAATTATGTAGCTGGCTCTGGCCTTGCCTGGCCCTTATTTGGCAATCTCACACCAATGTTATTTTTAGATAACCAAATATCTTACAACGTAAGTGGAATATGTCTAGTTTTACTAGATTATTTTTTGGTTTCAAGAACTTTTAATGCTAAGCACAAAATTAGATATTTTCAATAGTTCAGTTGGGGAAAAAGCCCTTTAAATTATTTTTACTAGCAGATATCATTAACAATAGAAATTTGGGATCTGTTGTTGTGACTTGACAGTGCAATACGTGAAATGGAAAAACAATGCATTTTTTTTTCCACTCAGGCAGCCAGGAAAAAATTACTTACTTTTCCACAGTGAAAATATCATCACTCCATATATTCTATCACATTAGGAAAAGTTTTTTAAAAATCTTGTTACTTCTCTCTGATGCTGATGTGTGCTCATAAATAATGGTAACATTTTTCTGTTATCTATCTGGTACTATATTAAATGGTCATAGGCTAGTGACACCAGTGAAATCAAGGAGTACAAGAAATAGCTTTTCATTTCTTATTAATTTTGTTTCTGCTCCACATCTTAATATCTTACCTTGAGTTTGGCCAAAAGAAGCTCATGGTCATGAAGAAGTTTCTTGGTTTCATCTTGACTGCTACCAATTTCTAGAAGATTGGGCTGTGATTCAGCCAATTGAAGTTGTACCCATTTGCCACACTAAAAATAAAAATGAAATAAAATGCACATTTAGTTCCTCTTGTTCCTTCCTCTTCATCCTTCTCCTTTTTTTTTTTTTTTTTTTTTTGAGTTGGAGTCTCACTCTGTCACCCAGACTGGAGTGCAGTGGCCGCTCCCGGCCACCGCAGCCTCGACCTGCTGGGCTCCGGCGATCCTTCTGCCTCAGCCTTCCAAGTAGCCGGAATTACAGGCATGCACTACCACGCCCGGCTGATTTTTTTATTTATTGTAGAGATGAGGTCTTGCTTGCCCAGGCGGGTCTTGAACCCGCGGGCTCAGGCAATCCATTCACCTCAGCCTCCCAAAGGCGCGGGATTACAGGCTGAGCCACCGAGCCCGGCAATCCTTCTCCTTTTTTATATAGCTTTAAAATTTCCAGTTATACTGTAAACACTATATTATTTCCATAGAGATGGGCCTTACTTAAATTATAGCACAATAGATCTAATATAAATCCATCCCTGCCTTTTAAAAAGATTCTTTTTGTGTGTGTTGCTTTATTTTTTGAGTTGAAGTCTCACTCTGTCACCCAGGCTGGAGTGCAGTGGCATTTTCATGGGAAACACAGCCTCGACCTGCTGGGCTTAGACAATTCTTCCACCTCAGCCTTCAGGCGATCCTTCCACCTCAGCCTTCCAAGTAGATGGAACTACAGGAGCACACCACCATGCCTGGCTAATTTTGTGATTTATTGTAGAGACGAGGTCTCACCAAGTTGCCCAGGCTGGTCTCAAACCCTCAGGCTCAGGCAATCTACTCACCTTGGCCTCCCAAAGTGCTGGGATTACAGGCTGAGCCACCACACCTGGCCTTGTTTTGTTTTTATAGAGACAGAGTCAGGTCTTGCTGTGTCACTCAGGCTAAAGTACAGTAGTGCAATCATAGCTCACTGTAACCTCCAACTCCTGGCCTCAAGCTGTCCTCCCACCTAGTTTCTGTAGTAGCTAGAACTATAGACCACACCACCACTTCCAGCTAAGTTTTTGTTGTTGTTTAGAGATGGGGTCTTGCTATGTTGCCCTGACTGGCCTTGAACTCCTGGTCTAAAATAATCCTACCTTGGCCTCCCAGAATGCTGTGATTGCAAACTTGAGTCACTTTTCCTAGTCTTTTTAAATTCTTAGGATAGACTATTCTCTGTTGGCAAACTGAACTTGAATTAAAAATTCCCAAGTAAGGGACACATAAAATGGATTAAATATTACTGAATGTTATAAAATTACAGAATAGTTGACACAATTGTACTCTCTCTCACAAAACTTAACTCCATACAAATAGTGAAATTCCACTGGGGTAAGTAGGATGTAAACCACCACAGGGGAAATTTTTTGTAAATGCAATTTAGACTGATTGGCATCTTTACATTGGCCTTGTTGGCTTAACCAGAAGGAATAAACATCAGACAAAGCAATGGATTTTTATCTCATTTCAAAGATAAAACATAACATTTCCCAACCTTTGTTATTGAGTAGTCAATAAAACATGTAGGAAAATATTATTAAAATTAGATGCCTGTGACAACTGCCATTTGAATGCAGTCAATGTGTTTCCACACAGGATTTTCACTGCTCTAAGACATAATTCATCATTGTATTTCCTGGGGAATTGCTTTTCTAAGAAGCAACAACTGATTAAGCAAAAAGAACCACTAACAGGCATGTGCACGTGGATATGTGAATTACTAAAGAGAAATGAGAAAAATGTGTTTCTATTCTAGAATATAATTAGTGCCCTTAGACAGTTTGGCAAGTCACCATAGATCAGACATAGGCACTTCTGTTCCATTAATACAGACTTTTCACTTTGAATGGCTGGGGGTATATTTTATATGGAGATAAAGTTAAAGTCAGAGAGTCGGGGAGGGGATAATGAGGGAACATTCTTAGAAACATTATTTGGTTAAAATAAGAGACTCTACTGTAATTTTAGAGGGTTTTTTTCTTGCATTCAATCTACCTCTGATTCTTCTATAATTTATCCCTTAACTGCTATTCCTTATCCTGCTCTAAGTATGCTTCATATTTGACAAAATGAAAAGTTAACTTTTTAAAAAATAGTGAGTTTGCCTTTTTTCCCTCATTGCTGAAATTTGCAGTTACTCAAAACATCATTAAATCACATGCAAATAATCAGCTCGTGCTACTTCTTTCTGCTCTAGGCTTCTTTCCAATGCCACTGGGTGACTTTGAGATTAGAGGGTGAGGAAGAGGTCCCATTTGTGTGGGGGACAAGGCTCCTAACACAGGTAAAGCAACCTCGGTGGGAACAATTATAGTCCTTCTATAGTGAATCGTTTTGATCAATGTTAAGTGCTGTTTTCCTGTTACACATTTTCATATTACCATAAATTTCAAAGCAATTAAGTTAAATTGAACATGACTAACAAGTTATCCATGCTGTAGCAAAAGGCCAGAAAAATCATTCAATTAAGCCTGGTGGGGTCCTAAAAGTAACTGGCTGGCGATCCCCTGCTTGTTTGCCAGGTTTCCTTCATGAAACACCAAATTCTCTAGATGGCCCAATGTTGAAAGTACAAGCTTAATGCCTCACAGGTTTTAGCAGGACATTTCTATAGAGAAGAGAATCATGGATGTCTTTTTCAGTCTCAAGATGTGCAATCATCTTTGCAAATGGGCAAATTGTTTGACATAAACATGCAGTAATCTTAAGCCCCAAGTGGCTTCTACTTCCTGCTGTTTTAAACTAGTTTGACACAAACCCTTTGCAACGTCCCTGGCAGTGCCTTCATTTCTCCCACAGAGTGACAAGGATTTAGTAGAGTCTTTACCATGTCAAATCCACTGCTGTGAAGGGCACAAGCTGAATCCTCCTACTCAGTGTTTTCTGTGCCCCATCATGGTCAGGACAGTGCCACCTCCTATATGCTGGGACCTGCCTCCTCCTATTCCTATCACATTCCCTCTCAAAAATTGCAAACATGCCACAGGTCTGCTGGACCCATCAGCCTGGCAAACACAGACTTCTAATCCCCAATACCTTGCTTTTAAAGACCAAATTGAAAGTATATGGCAGAGGTTGTTTTTCATCAAGCTGCTGTAGGTGCTTTCTGGCTTGCTGAAAGAAAAGGGAAATTCTGGTAACTGGCTGACACTTCGCAGAGGTTTCTCTTAGTGGCTGATTTAAGGAAGCAATGAGAGTACTTGCTGTGTTATCTTCTCTAAGCTGTGTCCTGCCGAATGTGTGGAATGTTCTTTAAGGTAATCGACACATAGCAAGAAGCCCACAGTCACATAGAAAAAAGAAAGCTGTTGGCTTACCTTTATGACAGCTATCACGATTTTGGAGTCCCCAGCCTGCACAGCTACAGAACTGACTGTCGTCGTGGAACACTCCACACCAGCACTTCTTTGGCTGGACATGGTACTTTAGAACCCAAGTTTATGCTTCGGGCGGCCTCTGGACAGTGGTGTGTCTGCTGGTCATTTCAGAAGGCAACCACCGGGGTTACTTGGATTCATTCAGGGAAAGAGCGCAGCTCATACTGATTACTCTGCCAAAAGGAAAGAACAGGAGGTTAAAAATAGACAACCCCATTGAGTTTATCATGAGCGAGAGAGGGAGAGAATCGCCACACCCCTAGTATGGTAACACTAAGTGCCTGTTATTTTTGCCATTATCTTAAACGTGGAGGGCAGCTTCCAGCTCTTTCCCTATCAGCTGATGTTTGATAGCAAATGGAAAGAAAAAAAATTACATCCTGACAACCCAAATTAGTTTTGCCACTGAAACTATTCACTCAAAACCATGGACTTTGAAACTAGCAAGTCATTGACCTGGATCTCAATCTTTCTGAGATTTTTTAAGCCTCTCATGCAAAGAAAACCATCAAAAATGTATTTTAAGAAAAGTTCTGGTATTTGTTTTGGGGTAAGTCATCAAATTGCTTGAAATATATTTTTTAGATGAATCTGCTTTTCTAAGACTCACTGTCCTTTGCCAGATGAAGTTTATATGGAATAGTCACATTTTCTCAGAGCCTCAAATTTCTTAGTGACATTTTGAAAATATTTCAACCAGGTCTTATCAATAGATAGTTATCATTTCAGAATTTCTTTGACAATTACATTCCACTGAACAGTGTTTTCAAATTCAGTTATCACAACCACTAGAAAGCAAAACACTTTGCTGTTACCTTTTCATTGCAGCAAGAAAATGGTTTTTGTTTGATTAAAGATTATCGCAATGTATATTTGTCAAATTAAAAAAAAAAAAAAACACTTTGCTTCAGTCTTAGTTTGCATTGTCCACCTCTACCTCCTGTGCAGAAAAAATTATACTCAGCTTCACATCAGAACTCCAAATTGGCAGATTAATCCTATTGCTAGAAACTCAGCCTGTGTCACAAGTTGTCTGTGGTATTAAACAGCAGCTGTTGGATTCCCTGTCAAAGAACAGCTGAAAATAACACTGAAGTCTAGGTCAAAGGTCAGATGCAAACATACCAGAGATACAAACTCCAAAGCTGCTGGAACCATCAGAAATCTCTAGGACAAAGCCAGAACAGAGAATATGACAATAAACAGAGTTTTAATGAATCCGTTTGCTGTGTAAACCCTTTAGCTCAACTTAAAAGCATGTTCAGGTTCAGGGCTGAAGTTCAGAAAACTGAGTCAGCACCATTGCTGAGGGTGTGCAAAGTTCACGTTAATCCTTGATTCAAAGTGATTCACATCTATTTCATTGTTCAACAATTATTTTGGTTTCCAAGAGCATGTCATGGTTGCTCTGAAATTGTGTAGCCGTGACATATGTCTTCTCAGCATCTGCTTGCCACCCCAGCAAAATGGAAAACATGCTTAGATCCCAGTTTCTATGTGACACTAACTCACCTGAGGCCATGAAGGAAATAGATGGAGCAAGCTCAGGAAAGCAGACGCCAAGACATGCCGTGATATGGAAAATACTGCAAATGGTTTCATTTTATGGCAGAGCTGGAGAGCTTACAGAGCCAACTTGACCTGGAAGGTTGAAGGCGGGCTCTTTCCACTGCAGCAAATAGTTGGACCAGACAAACCAAAACACACTCATCGCAACCAGTTTTTGACCTAAGTGTCGTCAAGAAAAAGTAAGAGTTGACATTGTGCCACAGGATATCTACACTCTAAACTAACATGCCTAAGGAGCTTAAGTCATTGTGTACTTGGCCAACCAGAACAGCAAACAGTGACCTGCACTCAAAATACTTCATGCACTTTTCATCAGAAGTTAATCCCATAGTCAGAAACTTAGTGTGTGCCAGAAATTGCATAAGGGTCTTGGGTTGGGAGCCTGGGGGTGGGGAAGGGAGGTTTTGGCAGCAGGCTGCAAAGACCACAGGCTAAGGAAAGAGTGGTTCTCTCCATAAAGCCCCGCTTAAGATGGGTGATTGTGTTAGGAGTCAGAGGGCAGCATGGAAGGTCTAGAATTGCAGACCTAGGTGGGGGAAAAGGAGAAGGGAGATGAAGTCAGAGCACAGGGCTGATGGCCTCGTTAACTCCAAGCTTTCAGGGCAAAGGGAGTTAGAGGTATTTGAGACTTTGTTTAAAGATTAATCCAGCTATTCAGTAACAAAGGTAGCACCGCCTTTTTGTGTGTGTGGATGACCTTTCCTTCTTTTTTTTTGAGTTGGAATCTCACTCTGTCGCCCAGACTGGAGTGCAGTGGCCGCTGCCGGCCACCACAGCCTCGACCTGCTGGGCTCTGGCGATCCTTCCGCCTCAGCCTTCCCAGTGGCCGGAATTACAGGCATGCGCTACCACGCCCAGTTGATATTTTGATTTATTGTAGAGATGAGGTCTCGCTGCCCAGGCAGGTCTCGAACCCGTGGGCTCAGGCAATCCATTCACCTCAGCCTCCCAAAGGCGCGGGATTACAGGCTGAGCCACTGAGCCTGGCCCGACCTTTCCTTCTGTTGATTAGATGGAGCAGGTCCAGGGTGCAGCCTAAGGAATCTGTTTTCTGCATTGGTGGGCATGAAAAATCATGCGTACATGAATTTAAGTGGTTTCTGACTAATTTTTTTAAATTCAAACTCTTGGCTTTAAAATCCTCAAAATAATCGTTTTTTTCCCTCTTCCCTTGCTGTCTGTTCCCCTGTTTTTTCCTCCTCAGCTTTCAGTCCTCCCCTCTAGAGAAGCCCTGTGGCTTAGACTTCTTCATCACATTTAGCTTATTTAAAACCTTGGTCTAGTTTTGCCCAGGCACCATCACAGCTCACCACAACCTCAACCTCCTGGACTCAGGTGATCCCTCCACCTCAGTCTCCGGAGTAACTGGGGCTATAGGCACAAGCCACCACACCTGGCTAATTTTTTGCTTTTTTTGTAGAAATGAGGTCTTGCTATGTTGCCCAGGCTGCTCTTGAACTTCTGGGCTCAAGCAATCCTCCAGCCTTGGCCTGCCAATGTGCTGGGATTACAAGCATGAGCCACCAAATCCAGCCCAGTATATAATATTTAATTATAAATTGCAGCGTAAACTCTCACTCGCAGTTTGAAGAATAGTTAGTATACAAATATATTGTACTCAAGAAGTCACTATACTTAGATGGAATTTTTTTTTTTTTTTTTTTTGAGTTGAAGTCTCACTCTGTTGCCCAGACTCGAGTGCAGTGGCACGCTCCCAGCCACCGCAGCCTCGACCTGCTGGGCTCCAGCAATCCTTCCGCTTCAGCCTTCCAAGTAGCTGGAATTACAGGCATGTGCTACCATGCCCGGCTGATTTTTTTATTTATTGTTGAGATGAGAACTTGCCAAGTTGCCCAGGCGGGTCTTGAACCCGCGGGCTCAGGCAATCCACTCACCTCGGCCTCAGATGGAATTTTTTAAATCTTAAAGTACTGAGAGCTTTTGGAGTTACTGTTTATTTATACTCTGCTTTCCCTATCATCACCAAAACACCCCAAAACAAAACAAAACACTTATAGGCATTCTCATACCTTTGAAGTTTATAGAGGATCTTGCAGAGGTTATTATGGTTTCTCTGTTTAACCCTCTGGGAAATGCCTGTTTTTACACTAGCTGAATTTTAGTGAAATATCTTCCATGGGGAATCATAAAGCTATAACTGGATTCAGTTGTAAATAGCACATTTTTAATGAAATATAGATAGCAGTCTGAAAACTTTTTCATGCGATTACTTTTTAGCTCTGTCTGTGGTGATACCATTAACACAACACATTTCTTTGTCAAAATATAGGTGGAGTCCACTCATATTTATAAGTATCCTGGGTGTTTGTCTTAATCAATAGAATTATTGGTTAAGCAAAATTAGATAGACCTACTAATGTAAATAATCCAGAATGAATCTATTTATCCAGATTAAAAATTCAAGGCAAATGTCTTAAGTGAACCAAGTTAGAAACATAAAGACAAATACCACATGTTCTCAGTTATTGTTATTATTATTATTATTGGAATCATAGTCTCACTCTGTTGTCCAGGCTGGAGTGCAGTGGTGCAATCACAACTTACCACAGACTTAACTTCCTGGGCTCAGGCAATCCTTCTGCCTCAACCTCCTAAATATCTGGGACTACATGAGTCCATCACCATGACTGGCCAAATTAAAAAAAAATTTTTTTTTGTATTGAGCATGTCTTGCTATGGTGCCCAGGCTGGTCTCCAACTCCTGGACTCAAGCAAGCCTCCAGCCTCGGCCTCCCAAAGTGCTGAGATTACAGGTATAAGCCACATGTTTTCACTTGTAAATTTCACTTATAAATGGGAGCAAAATAATGCGTACACATGGACACAGAGTGTGTAATGATAGACAATGGAGATTTGGAAGGGCGAGGGCTTCAGATTACTTATGCTATTTGGGTGACAGACACTCTAAAAGCCCAGACTTTATCTCTACACAATCTATGCATGTAACAAAATTACACTTGTACCCCATACATTTATATGCATTTAAAAATGAAATAAGTAAATTTTTAAAAATTCAAATCAACTTTTTATTTTTAATTTTTTTTAATTCAAAAATTTTCTCTGCTATTATCATTTGTAGTGGTAATTATGGCTAACATTTTGTGACTGCTTAAAATGGGACAGAAATGGATAAGTGCCTTATACTCTTTATCCCATTTAATCTACCAAATAAGGCTAGAAAAACATATTTTCCTGATTTTACAAATCACACACTGGCTGGGCACGATGGCTCATGCCTATAATCCCAGCACCTTGGGAGGCCGAGGTGAGAAGATTGCCTGAGCCCACAGGTTCGAGGCCAGCCTGGGCAACTTAGTGAGACCTCATCGCTACAATAAATCAAAATAAAAAAATGTTTAAATGAAATGCTTATCTATATTTTTTCTTAAACTCAAATTTTAATAATTTTATGCTTATATCACAAACTTGTATTGCTTTCTAATTATTTAATA